AACAGGCTCACAAAGTTCTGAACAATACAATAGCTGGCACATACCCTGCAATTTAACATTACTTCTGACAGGGAGTTGTGCACAGAACTGGTTCTCGGAGCGGCGCGAGAACAAGAACACAGTTTTCGTCAAGCAACCACATCAGCGAGAAACTACCTGATGAGGTATAAATTAGCCTTTGTCCAGATTTACAAAACAATATATACAAAGTATTTTAAGCTGCTTGTGGGACTCAGTTTGTTTGTGGCTCCTTGGACTGATGAAGTCCTTTGGATGAACTATGAAAAGTCTCAACAACATAAAAAAGAAACCGTCCAGATGACCTGACTGAACTTTGTTGGATTTTCTACCTGGATTATTGAGCATGAACTTTGATGTTTTAATCGGTGCAACTTTTCTAACATTTACATCAGTTCAGGTCTGAAAGTCTGCCTCAAGGTTTTCCTCTGCCTCCTTCTGCAGAGATTCTGGCAGCCCACAGAGGCACAGGCCAGAAAAAAGCTAAAAGGTCTGAAGATCTGGCTTGACTGTCACAAAAGGAGATTTTAAATATTGGTATATATTCTGGCTTTTTGCAAGTGAAAAATTCTTAGTTGCAACTAATTCAATTTTAATTAAAAACCACTGTGTAGGCACATTTTGATCTGTAAATCTACCTTAAATGACACACCCACCAGAAAAACAACAAACTAAGTGTTCGACTAATTTGTATTTTTTTATGTACATTATTGTGCATGATTAAAATAAAATTTCACAGTTGCATAAATTCATAGTGCTTGCTTTTTGTTTCAGTTTTCTTTGATCTTTGATGACGAGAAATGTTTCTACTTTTAGGAGTTTTTCGGGCGACGCAGTGTTGCAACCTGAACATTCACTGATACTGCAATATACTGAGCGATAAGTTCCAGGAAGCATCACATAAATTTAGCCAGAAAAGTTAAAAAAAAAAAAAACTCTGGGGATGATTCATTTGGAAAAAATTAAATGACTTGTAAATGATTTCATGTGTTAAGTCAGGTATTAAAATTTTTTTATAATAGTGAGATTTTACAGAGGAATTTTTTTTCTTTAACATAGCAGGGTGTTAAATATCAATTTGATGCTTATTACCATAAACCTGTTGACAAAATTCAAATGAAATATGCAGATGATTGTGTTGTAAATACAACTGAAATTTAAAAGAAGGGACTGCTTCAGTTTTGCCAGCAATCAACGGGCCCCCGCAGGGTATCGACACAGGAAGTGAAGTAAAAGAAGGTGATAAAACTGTGGTCATTTTTTCTGGTTCTACTCTGTTTTTTTCCCCTCTCTCACACTTTATGAAAAATAGCACACATGAAAGCAAAACTCGACCCTTGTTTTCACATGTCCACAGTCACAATCTCGAGCTTTATACTTCACCTCCCAGAGACAAACACATGTCTGTTAGAGTCATTGCAAGTTTTGTTTATAAAATTTAAAGCTGTTTTTGAGGGGATGCATATCCACCGCCTTTTATATGGGGTGTCGTTTGTAAAGTTACACAGTCAAAAATTAACAGCAATATTTTGATTTATTTAACCTTTCATAAGAAAAAAATAGTTTATTTTTCAAATTCATATTTTCACCATGTTATTCATACATTTACAAATGTCATAGCTCCAAACTAAATATTTATTTTACAAGTTAAATATTTAGCTTACAAACTAAAAATTTAACTTTCAAGTTAAATATTTAGTGAGCAAGCTAAATATTTAGCTCCACACTAAATATCTTGTTTACATACTAAATGTTTATTTCCAACATAAATATTTAATTTGAAAGTTAAATATTTAACTTGCAAGTTAAATATTTAGTTAGTGAACTAAATATTTAGATGTAAATTAAATATTAAATTTCAAATCTAAATATTTATTTTCCAAACTAAACATTTATTTTCCAAAATAAACATCTAATTTCTAAGCTAAACATTTAATTCCTAAACCAAATATTTAACTTGCTAACTAAATATTTAGCTCCAACCTAAATATTTATTTTCCAAGCTAAATATTCAATTTCCAATTTAAATATTTAATTTGCTAACTAAATATTTAGCTCAGACCTAAATATTACAAGTCAAATATTTAGCTAGCAAGTTAAATATTTAGGTCTGAGCTAAATATTTAGCTAGCAAATTCAATATTTATTCTAAAAATTAAATGTTTAGCTTGGAAAATAAACATTTATGTCTGAACTAAATATTTAATTAGAAAATTAAACATTTAGTTTAAGAATTAAATGTTTAGCTTAGAAAACAAATGTTTAGTTTTGAAAATAAATATTTAGCTTGGAAATTAAATATTTATTTTACACCTAAATATTTAGTTCACTAACTATAACTTGCAAGTTAAGTATTTAGTTTGTAAATTAAATATTAAACTTGGAACTATGGCATTTGTAAATGTATGAATAACATGGTGAAAGTCTGTTTTTTCTTATGAAAGGCTAAATAAACCAAAATATTGTTGTTAATTTTTGACTGTGTAACTTTGCAAACGGTACACCATTCTTTCATGCCAGAGTTTTAAAAAATGGATCATCTTCTGATGACAAAGGAGGGAGTTAGTGGAAAACTGACATGGTTAAAGCAATCTGTGTGTTTGTTAAGCTCTATTAGCTGCGGTGGCCATATTGAATTGGGTTGACTCTAAAAGGTAAAAGTTCATAGGAGTACATCCAGTCAGTTTGATGAGATATTTTGCCAACAGACAAACAAATGATCACTCCACCCCAACACACATTCCTTTTAGCACTTCCATTCATTTCTGTTGCCCAGTCTAAACCTAACCATCATCAGTACATGACTAACCCGAACGTACCGATAAATTCAATCCACACCTCTCCCTAAACCAAACTCTTTACCACAAAAACATGAACCACTATATAAGGATTAGACTAATAATTATACCAGAAAAAGTCCTAAAAACTTGTAGTTTCCAGCTTGTGCAAACTAAAAAAAAAGAAGGAGAAAAAGAGGAAGCACCATTTCAAAGAATCTATCGTAAGAAGATTAAAAAGAAACAACAATGAAAGTGCTTTGGTATTGAAGTCCAGATCTTGAAGTGCAGTCATTTGTTGTGTGTCCACAAACGTCTATCTTCTGGAACACTGTTGTAAAGAAAAGTGAGGCAAATAAGATGTGAGACTGAAGAAGATGACTTCAAGTCAGTGCTACTAAATGTGATGATTTTAACTAATAAATTATGATATTAACAAAAAAGAATAATTCAGATTGTTTAAAGTTTACTTTGATCAAAGATTATGAATAAGTATCATATTACCTGTTGCAGACAGCTCTTTGAGCAGACTCCTTTTAGACAACATACATAAGTAGACTTATTTAGACACCTCTAAGTACAAAGGACTATAATATTCTGCAAACTGGTGTACAGTAGTCCCTCACTACTTCGTGGTTTGACGTTCGCGATTTTTCAACGTAAGATTATACATGACACACGATTGTCAACTTTAATATTACTCATGTGATTGGGACGGTACGGTATAAAAAAGTTAATGGGAGCGGACGGGATAGGGAACAAACCAATAGGACAAAAAACAAAAGCAAAACAAACAAACAAAAAAAAAATTGAACAGGTGCAGCAATTTTGTAGTTTTCTTTCAATAAACCTACACTATAACTCAAGTCAAAAGAACTACACATCCCAGAAGCCAATCGGGCTTCCGGCCGCTTTCTGACGAATTGGCAACAATGGAGGGGAGGATCTATCTATTAAATTGCAAATGGTAAATGGACTGTACTTTATATTCAATTCAGTTTATTTATATAGTGCCAATTCATAACAAGGTTGTCTCAGGGCACTGAACAGAAACATTCACATACATAGAAAAGCCAATTAGTAAAGTTCTCTATGTAATGAAATATACTATATAGCGCTTTTCTATCTTATCAAGATACTCAAAGAACTTTACATTATAATCTGTGGCCTCAATTACCCATTACAGTGCCCTACTACATCTATACAATGACTAAACAGTGCTTTATCACATTCATACACCGATGGGACACACATCGGAGGAAATGAGGTGTTCAGCGTCTTGCTCAGGGACACTTCAGCATGTGACTGTTGGTGAAATCGAACCCCCAACTCTGGCTTTGGAGGACGACTGCTCTAACCACTCAGCCACAGTCGCCCTTAAGCCTATTAAGATCACAGAACTGGCAGGAAAGTTGCAAATAATCCTGAAGCTGAACTCATCCTTCAAGTTGTAGTCTGATCTTCACTGGTGAGTACCCATATAAAAATTCACAGTACTTTACAGTACATATACATATATTGTTAAACTTGGTTTAAGGGATTAGAACATTGCAAGAGTGTGGGAAGGGTTTATAAAGCCTTTAAAAAAATAATAAATAAATAAATAAATATAT